TATTGGGTATCAAAAACCCAACACTGGTCCCATGTATTATTTGTTCCAATTCTCTTTAAAAATTCAGTTGCAGCCCACTAGTCCTAACCCTTGATTTCTCTTTAAAAACATATTTGGCGATTAATTAATGGGTTATACTAGGATAGAGATGGTAATGCCATTATATCAGGCAAAATCTCCCCATTTAAACTATTAGTGGCCACGTGAATTGCAGCGAAATTCATGCATAAAAAAAAAGGCTTGCTGGTAATTATAGTAAATAATGTAGATGTATTTCGGCCGATTTCATGAGAACCACCTCTTTCCACCCTTGGTTGCTTTCAGCTTCATCACGGTAAATCCTTTGATCTTTGGCCTTTGGCAGTTAATTCCTCTCCCTAATCCTTTCTCTTTATTATTATTATATATATATATTTTTTACTTTTGTATTTAATTTTGCAATTTTCCTGTTATTCTAGGAACACTCTGCAAAATGAAGTAGATTCAAACTTATGTTTATTTCTTCATATATTAGTTTCCAAGGGATGACTATCTTGTCCAAGTTGTGTATTGCAGCACTTAGAATCTCCATAAACTGCGTTTATGGAAAGGCTCTCTAATACCCCTGTTTAAGTGTAAAGCATATATGCAACTTAAAGTGAAGCATTTCTATGACAACAATTCTCATGAACTATATAAATTCTCTCGTTTTGTCTGCATTAGAAATTAATGAAAATGTTAAGCAAATGACAATGCCATGACTAGCTTTCGTGTTAATATGTGGAGCATCAGAGGTGAATTTTTAACATAAATGATAATTAATCCACTACTACCACATCAGCAATTCCAACAAAAGGGTTGTAATGATAATCTCCAAATACTAATACTTGGTAGGAAATCAGTAAGATTCACACTTACTGTTATGATTAATCTCATCTAAAATGTCAAGCGGGAGCTGTCGTGGCCAGAACATTAAACAAGAACAGGTTTTGGAAATACTAGGTGAAATTACCTTTCTTGGAAGTATATCAACTATATATATATTTCAAAGTGACAATATCAGGAAGAGGTTCTCCAATTTGCCTAAAACCATAGTTTTCACTCAATTGTTTTCTGTCCTCTGCAATATCTAACTTAAAGAATACTCATTCATGTACCTTTTTTTTTTGGTTAACAATATTTGTTGTTTTTCTAAAAATTACTAGCTACATACTCTCTTTGGTATCGTCTATGTGAATCCAGTGATATACATGATGGATAGGAGTTTGATGCGACTACATAATAGATTAAGTGAAGAATATTTAGACAGTGTTAATTCATTTATGGAGGTAGCAAA